TCCTGGTATGGGACTCATCAGCAGTGCGCATTCACGACTCCTGTATCTCGTAGGATTCGAACCCAAGACCTTCAGTATTGTGCGCGAACGCCTAACCTTTGAACCACTGAGCGGGCATCTAAAGGTGTTCACGTCTAACTCTGATTAATCAAGGGAATTTGTGTGACCTAACCCGTCTGTCTTTGATAGTTACTGCCTACACCCGACAGGGTTGAACTCCACTGGTCGCGTCTTCTCACTAGAATTCCGAGAATTCCCTCACGAAGCTAACGATAACGTTAGCTCTATTCAATACTATATGCTTAATATAATGTAGGATTTTCGTCAAGGAATAGTTCAACAAGTTACTTTTGTAAAATTAACCAACAAGAAATCGGATAACAGTGATTAACTGCATACTTCTGTTAACATTAATAAATTAATTAATTAAACGTCCTTGGAGTTTGAATGACATGTTGTTATTTTTGATATGCTAAGAATCTATCTATACAACCCTTTCCGTAAGAACATGCCTAACAATACAAGTATTTGACTAAGTCAATTCTTATCAACTGTTCGCCAAATAATGTATTTTCTAAATAGTAGGCATAGTAATGTTTTTATACCTTTACTTGCGTGCGGAACGAACAAAAATTGAACAGAACTGGAAAAGAAGACCCAAGAAAGAGTAGGTTGAAGAACTGTGGTCGGTGGGATATGCTCCATCGGGAGTAACAGGTGTAAGTAAGTAAGTAAGTAAGTAAGTGCATAAGTAAGTAAGTAAGTAAGCAAGTAAGTAATTAAGTAAGTAAGTAAGTGCATAAGTAAGTTAGTAAGTAAATAAGTTGAGCACACAAATTATAATTTATCAGCCTTTTGTTCTACGAGAAGTTAAGTTCAAGGCCAAAGTAGTGAATGAAGTTGTATCAGCTAAGATAAAATACTTGTCAAGAGTTTACAAGCATTTAAATATCTATTCACCATCATACTTCATATGGACTTGAAAAGATTCACCATAAACCCTGTCAACTATCATGAGTATTCTCCGCAACACAGCAAAATCTTTTCTTAAAAGCCTGGTTAGGAATAATGAATAATAGTAAAGATTTATGAGTAAGATGCAAGTGTTTACAAATTGTAGAAGTAAAGGCCAAACTATGCTAAAAGCAGTAGTAGTCATCAGTAGTCATCATTAGGCAATTCAACATTCTAAGATACTTACTTATTCAGTCTACAGTTCTGATGCCTGATGACATTGTATTTCAAGCTTTGTCAATATAATAAAACACGCTAAGCAAACTTTGTTGTTTGAATGAAGTGACTAGAATACCAACAAGCAAATTTCAAGACATACATCAAGTACAGCTGGTTCAAGAGGCAGATGATAATCCGTATGTAAGTGAGTACGTGTCCATTAAGTCTATGTGGTGGTGTTTCGTTCTCTGAGCTGGACACAACCAAAATATCCAGCTTAGATAACGAAACATCACCAAAATCATCAACCTGAGCTACAAATTTTCTCCACCATCTCATTAGGTCCCTTCTTGAAGCTATCCACTGAAAAGTGAGGCTGTGATCACTTCGGCAGGGAGAACGTTCCAAGTTAGAAACAACTCCCTACATGAGGAGGCAAAAGTATGTGCACAAACCTGCGTGGCCTTTCTCTCTCTTTTTGATGCGTAATATTTAAATCAATACAATCGCCAGTAATAATTTTTGAAAAAAAATATCGGGTAAATAATCGACTATTATTAGGTAGAAGCAAACTTGTTTCACAGTTAAGATTTATAGTCCAAATTATGTATGCTAAAAACAATTTCGACCAATTACACCGTGATATTTTGATTTACGCGCGCGCGCACACACACACACACATGCACACATACACAGTTGGTATGTGCTTCTTTAGTTGTTGTATATACAGTACACTACATGGAATGGATTTAACGAATAAAGGATCTTTCTTTTGTTTTCATCCTTATCAATTCATGATTTAGATATGATGCTATGATTTTCTTAAAGGTTACATTTGATTACTGTTGTTTTTTTTTGGGGGGATTTCCATAATTTAGTTTTTCTGACACTAATTTTTCATGTTTGCAATGATCAAGTGCAGTTTAAATAAAGAGAAATAATAAAAGTTTGTAGTTTTAATCAGTTAAGATAAAATGTTATTCTACACTGGTTATTTGAATCGTCGTCTTACTGATGTTCATTCTTAGCCCGTTTGTCTCGACATTGACATTAGATGATCAACATTATAAACAGAGATCGACAGTGGTAGGAGCCAAGGTGATGCATATGTTGACTTATTTCTGACTACATCGCAGAGTTGATTATCGTCGATTCGGTACTTTAATCTAGTACTGTCCGCTTTAAACGCCATCATGTTATTCACTTAACTAATATAAATTTATGGCAACATCAGGCAGTCCACATACATAAAAGTTTACACTACATGATATTCAGCTTTAAATGTGTTAGGTTCGTCACTAAGTATGCTTGAACACATTACGGGTTCATCTTAGTCGATAAACTAGAACGAGACAATGAACCAGCGTCCAGGTAGGCTACCTTGTTTATTTGACTCGAAACGGAAGTCTTGATATAGCGTAGAAAGTATATTCTACAAACAGCCAGCAGTCAAAATGATCTCAAGAACACAAATCTCGCTTATTTATACATCATAGAAACGTCCTTGAGAGAGAAAAAAATACCACACTAAAATACACAGAAGCCAATCACAGGCTAGTATTTTCTTGGTTGTAAATGAAATCTCAAGGTCAACTGATCAGCCCATGTTCAGAAACGAAAAATCCAAAATTAAGGCATTTATCAAGCGAATTCTCAGGATCTAACGTCCCCAATAAAATTAAAGGTAGATACTAGTGACTACTTACATGCTTAATGGTGGATGTTACCACTCATTCGGCCAAGGTGGCCGCCCACAATTCTCCAACGTAATATATGCTGAACATTCCTTTCCAATTCTATTTAATTGCAGTTTATTCCTTCCATGTCTCTATCCGATTCTCGGTGGGATGTGTGTGTTCTTTGATCATACTCTTTATATTTGCCCTTGATTATTCCAAGTGAGGGCTTGTCATGTGATACTACTGGGTACTGCCCTCAATGTGTATCCTATCCACTTCCAGCGCTTCTTCCTCATTTCCTCCTCCGTTGAAATCTGATTTGTTTCCTCTCACTAAGGGTTGTTGTTGATGGTGTCTGGCCAACGGATTGCATAGATAACTGTTAAAAAAAATACTTATATCTTCTGGATGATGGCTTTCGTGGATGTCCAATTCTACGGCTCATATAGTAGAACTATCTCGACGTTTATATTTAGAATTGTGACTTCGGTGTTGGTTGATAGTTCTTTTGAGTTTCAGATGTTGTTCAATTGTAGAAATGCTGCCCTTGTTTTGTTAATCCGCAAGTTCACATCTGCATCAAATCCACCTTGCTGATTAATGTTGCTGCCGTGATATGAAAAGGTTTCAACATCTTCGTAAGCGCCTCCATTAAGTGTGATTATTTGATTAGTGCAATGTTGTGCTTTATCTAAGGATGTTGCTTTTTCCCTTGATCACTGACTAACATTTTCATTAATAGTTAACATATTTATTTTACTAAGGCTAGTCTTTAAATCATAGTCCTGTTGGGGATGTTAGATCCCCAAAATTCGCTTGATAAATACCTTATTTTTTGGATTTCAGGTTTACGAGCGTGGGCTGATCAGTTGACCTTGAGATCACGTTTCTCACCAGGAAAATCCGTGGCTGTGATTGGCCGCCAGTAGAACCTTAGGGGCTACTGCCGGTCCCAAGCCCGGATAAAGGAGGAGGGTTGGACATGGGGTTGGCGACCCCATTCCGTTGAAATCTCACTTGCCAAAAAAACGCTAACCAGAAAAAATAATTCAAACCATTTTAACTCTGCCCTGGGAGTTGGAAGAAGAATTATGACGTCTCGTGATGAAAGCCGAGTTCCCTCGGAAGTCACGGGGCCGATGCCTCTTCTGACAACCAGAGCAACCACTTTTTTAGGTACATGGAACGTTCGTACATTGTGGGAAACTGGAAGACTATTTCAAGTTGCGGCAGAAATGAAAAGATACAACCTTGAGGTGCTCGGCATCAGTGAAACGCATTGGACACAGGTAGGACAACTGAGACTAGCTTCAGGGGAACTGCTGTTATACTCTGGTCATGAAGAGGAAAACGCTTCACATACACAAGGAGTTGCACTGATGCTGTCCAAACATGCACAAAAGGCACTGATAGGATGGGAATCTCATGGACCTAGGATCATCAAAGCATCCTTCAAAACAAAGAAACAGGACATTACAATGAACGTCATCCAATGTTATGCACCTACCAATGACTACAGTGACGACGTTAAAGATCAATTCTACGACAGGCTGCAGTCAATCGTCGATAAATGTTCACCAAAGGATTTAACGATCCTAATGGGAGACCTGAATGCCAAGGTTGGAATGGACAACACTGGATATGAATACATCATGGGACGACATGGACTGGGAGAAAGAAACGAAAACGGTGAGAGATTTGCAAACCTATGTGCCTTCAACAAACTGGTCATCGGTGGCACAATATTCCCGCACAAACGCATTCACAAAGCCACATGGATTTCACCGGATCACACTACTCAAAACCAAATTGACCATATCTGTATCAACAAAAAGTTCAGAAGGACCATGGAGGATGTGAGAACCAAGAGAGGAGCTGATATAGCTTCAGATCACCATTTGCTGATCGCCAAAATGAAACTGAAACTAAAGAAGCACTGGACAACGGGACAGACAACATCGCACAAGTTTAATACGGCCTTTCTTCGGGATACCGTAAAACTCAACGAATTCAGGATAGCCCTCACCAATAGGTTCCAGGCCTTTCAGGATCTACTCAATGGAGAGGAAGCAACATTGGAGAACAATTGGAAAGGGATTAAGGAGGCAATCACTTCAACATGTCAGCAGGTCCTTGGTCGCAAGAAGCACCATCACAAGGAATGGATCTCTGTTGGTACTCTTGAAAAAATTCAAGAAAGGAGGAACAAGAAGGCAGCTATCAATGTCTGCCGAACAAGAGCAGAGAAAGTTAAGGCACAAGCTTCATACACAGAAGCAAACAGGGAAGTGAAGAAGAGCATCAGAGCTGACAAACGAAAATATGTGGAAGATCTAGCAAAGACGGCGGAAAAGGCTGCAAGAGAAGGAAACATGAGACAATTGTACGAAACAACAAAGAAGCTCGCCGGGAACTATCGTAAACCAGAACGACCAGTGAAAAGCAAGGAAGGGAAAATAATCAGCAACACTGACGAACAGCGAAATAGGTGGGTAGAGCACTTTAAGGAACTATTGAATCGACCAGCTCCACTGAACCCACCCAACATCGAAGCAGCATCCAAGGACCTCCCAATTAATATTGGCGCACCTACGATTGAGGAGATCAGTATGGCCATCAGACAAATCAAGAGCGGCAAAGCAGCAGGACCAGACAACATTCCAGCAGAGGCAATGAAAGCAGATGTGGAAGCAACTGCGAAAATATTTCACATCCTCTTCAAGAAGATTTGGGATGAGGAACAAGTACCATCAGATTGGAAAGAAGGATACCTCATCAAAATACCAAAGAAAGGCGATCTGAGCAAGTGTGAGAACTACAGAGGCATCACTCTTCTTTCAATACCAGGCAAAGTCTTCAACAGAGTATTGTTAAACAGAATGAAGGACTTCGTAGACGCCCAACTTCGAGATCAACAGGCCGGATTTCGTAAGGATCGATCATGTACTGACCAAATTGCTACATTACGGATCATTGTGGAACAATCAATTGAATGGAACTCACCACTCTACATCAACTTCATCGACTACGAGAAAGCATTTGATAGCGTGGATAGGAAAACACTGTGGAGGCTTCTTCGACACTACGGTGTGCCTGAGAAAATAGTCAACATCATACGGAATTCTTATGATGGATTCAACTGCAAAATCGTGCACGGAGGTCAGCTGACAAACTCGTTTGAGGTGAAGACCGGTGTCAGGCAAGGTTGCTTACTCTCACCCTTTCTCTTTCTCCTGGTCATCAACTGGATTATGAAGACGTCAACATCTGGAGGGAAGCACGGTATCAGCTGGACAGTTAGGACGCAGCTGGACGATCTGGACTTCGCAGATGACTTGGCTCTTCTATCGCACACGCAACAACAAATGCAAGAGAAGACGACCAGTGTAGCAGCAGCCTCTGCAGCATTAGGTCTCAACATACATAAAGGAAAGAGCAAAATTCTCCGATGCAACACAACATGCACCAATCAAATCACGCTTGATGAAGATGCTTTCGAGGACGTTAACAACTTTACATATCTTGGCAGCATCATCGACGAGAAAGGTGGATCGGATGCAGATGTGAGGGCGCGGATCGGCAAAGCGAGGGTTGCATTTCTACAGTTGAAAAATATCTGGAACTCCAAACAACTTTCAAACAAAACCAAACTCAGCATTTTCAATACAAATGTCAAGACAGTTCTACTGTATGGAGCGGAAACATGGAGAACTACCAAAGCCATCATCCAGAAGATACAAGTGTTTATTAACAGTTGTCTACGCAAAATACTTCGTATTCGTTGGCCAGACACCATCAGCAACAACGAACTGTGGGAGAGAACAAGTCAGATTCCAGTGGAGGAAGAAATCAGGAAGAAGCGGTGGAAGTGGATAGGACACACATTACGAAAAGCACCTAACTGCGTCACGAGACAAGCCCTCACATGGAACCCTCAAGGCAAAAGGAAAAGAGGAAGGCCAAAGAATACATTACGCCGAGAAATAGAGAAATATATGAGAGGAATGAACAAACATTGGACAGAATTGGAGAGAGAAGCCCAGGACAGAGTTGGTTGGAGAAAACTGGTGAGCGGCCTATGCTCCATTGGGGGTAACAGGCTTAAGTAAGTTAGTAAGTAAGTGATTGGCTGCTGTGTATTTTAGTGTGCTATTTTTGTGACTGTCACAAGGACGTTTCTATGATGTATAAATAAACGAGAGTTGTATGATTGATTGTACTGTGATTGCTGGGTGTTTGTAGAATATACTTTCTACGCTTAGAAAGCCTTTTATTTCGACTTTGGGTATTCAATGTAGCCTACCTGGACGCTGGTTCATTGTCTCGTTCGCGTTTATCGACTAAGGTAAACTCGTAATAGCCTCAAGCATACTAAGTGACGAACTTATCAAGTCCTCTAACTAGACATCTTACATCACTGATTTTTGAATATTTAAAGTTAAATTTGTATGAGAAAATGAACTATCTTTAATGAAATAGTAAGCCATAGTTTGTAGTAATTTCTGCAGTAGATGAATTATGCCTTCCTGATAAAATCCAGGTTACGAAATTCATCTCATTGAACTGGAGAGAGACCTGCATTTTCATGTTGATTTTCTCTAATGTAACTTGAATCTGGTATTTTTTTTTGCTTGAAACGTGGACGAGTTATTTATTCCCTGAACTGTTGAACCAAAAACAAGTTTCATCATGAACTTCGATATTCATATCAAGTCAATGGGCTTGACTTAGAAGGAAATATTAGCACCTAGAATTATACTGCCAGTCATAAACCATATATTACACAACGATAATAGTGATACTCCATCAGTGGGGGTGGTTAGGACATGTGTTACGTATTCCAAATCACCGACTGCCTCGAAGAACGATGTTTTGCAATGTAGGGATAGGTTGGAAGAAAGCTAGGGGCGGCCAAACCAAAACATGGCACAAATCCATGAAATCATTGACGAACGGACTGAGTCATGTTGGTAGATGTAGACTACTTGGTTGTGGTTGGCAACATGATAGTAACCGATGGTTAGAGAATTCGAATGACATGGTTGAAAATCATTTGCAGTGGCACAGGTGCATTCATTCACTGTATTCTCTAAAATTCTAATCTTAATTTATCACGACTTCTATCCCTCTCTTTCGAAAGTTATCTCACTGAAGTATACTTCTTGTATAATATCTTCGAAACCTAATATTCTCCATAACTAGTAATACTTCTACTATCGCTACCACTATGTGATTTGAACTGACAGTTGCGATATGGCAACCTGAACTCATTTACTCATGTACGGAGTTCTACTTTGTAACTGACTGACACATCCGATATCTAGTGGGAAGACGTGACCAGTGAAGTTCAACCTGTTCGGGTGTATTCAGTGTCTACCGAAGACTGTGTATGAGGTTGTGCGACCCCGTGAATTTGATCAAGTTAGGCATTAACACCGTTAGATACCGGCTCAGTGGTCTAACGGTTAGGGCGTTCGCGCAAAATACCGAAGGTCCAGGGTTCGAATCCTGCGGGGTGCAGGAGTCGTGGATGCGCACTGCCACTGATGAGTCCCATTCTAGGACGAAACGGCCGTCCAGTGCTTCCAGGTTTCTAGTGGTGGTGGTCTAACATTGATCGATGCATGATTTCAAAAATGTATAACTTAACAATCTTTACAACCCCGTAATGCAAATCAATCTATGCCGATAAAGACTTGTTTAAACTCAATCATGATACAGTTTACAATAGTTGTTCACTATGTCAGCGTATCCATTGATCATCCAAATAATATTGATCATTGATTGAAGTAACCTTTAAAGTGAAACTGAAAACTGTTTTTCAGTCTATTATTAATTCAGAAGTCAGATTTTTTTCAAAAAAATTGTACACAAAAAGAAAATCCACTGGTAGAAAGATGATAAGTGATGAAGAAAAAATAAATTGGAAATAGAATTTGTGAAAATTCTCTTAGCTATTCCACATTCTTTGCTTCATAAAAGTATCATTCAATGTTCAATTATATATTTTCTAATGGTTTTCTTTCAAGAGAAAAATTCAAGTGAGGAAGAATCATTGAATTCATGGAAAAAAGTCTATTTTTTTTGTTTGTTGAGAATTAACATTTACGTTGAACATTAACTATTGAAAATTGAACAATTAACATTTACGTCGAACATTAACTATTGAAAACTGAACAAAAGTTGAAACAATTTGTCTGAAAAGAAATTTTTATTGCAGTAGCTATTAAGAATTTGTAATTTTTAGCTATAATAAATATAATATTGTATCAAGTTAGTTTGTTTTGTGAAATTTAAAATAAAGTGATAACCGGAATATTTCCCCCAGATTATATACAATGGAATTTGTGATAGTGTTTTATTCTCTCTGAGTTGGATATTTTGGTTATGAAACTTTCATCGTTCTCCTTCTTCTCGACAGCATCATCAGCACAAACTTCAGATAGAAGAGCTGAAGCTCATTCGAATTTTTCCACGTTTGCCTTGTAGTTTGTTCTGCTAACCTCAGTCTTGATTGGTTGCTTTTGACCTTAAACCTATCATTGTTTGCACCCTTATTCTGATTATATCCCCTTTTTGATCTGTTTCTTGATCCTATGTCACTCATGATTTTTCTGATTAGTTGATAAATTGGGTCCATGGCGCGATGTGTTTGTTGACTGTCGATTGACCTCCTGAGTGCCAAGCTTCTGAAAATTCTCTAATGTTCTTTATCCTCCTCCTATCCAGTATTTCGATGCAGTTGAATCGTTCATTTCTAGTTTACAGCTACCTTTAAGAATAATACTCTCAAGTAAATAACTGAAAAGAAACGATAATTGTTAGAATTATGAATGAATCATTGTTATTCTATCAACTAAAAGCACAGGATGGCGGCTTCGTCCTGGTTTAGGACTGACCAGCAGTGCACATCCAGGACTTCTGCTACTCACAGGACTCCAACCAAGGACCTTGCGTCTTGAGCGCGAGCACCTAACTTCCGGACTGCATCCGACCGGCTGGCATCCAATGGTGTTATTGTTTAACTTTGGTCGATTTCGTGATTTTTGCGCAACCTCAAGCAACTGTCGACATCCAATAAGGTTGATCTCCAGTGGCTACATCTTTACAGCTGAAATCAGAGAATAACTTCACGAAGTTGGTCACTGCCGATGAGTCCCATACTAGGACGAAACCGCCGTCCAGTGTGCTTTCAGGTTTCTAATGTTGATCTGGCAATGTTTTATGCCTGATTTCAATTGTTAAATTGATTAGTAGATTTTAATGTAGGCAAAGAAAGATGCAACTTCTGCATTAATTAAGTATAAGAGGAAAACAAGAGTAGGCTGGCTGCATAAGGGGCAACCACATTGTGTTTGATCAAGAGATTTCAGTAAATTATTTACAAAATATTTACATCAATGTTTATTTCAGGAAATTATTGATTAGTACAACAGTTGAAAATTGTTTACATGGAATGTTTGTTCAATAGTGAAGAATTATTGCTTTTTTAATAATTAAATTATTTTTCGTGAATCAGAGTCAGTCAGATGCAACGTAGAACTTCGTGCGTAAGTACATCAGTTCAAGTTGCCATACCACATCAGCACAGAGTCACAATTGTCAATTCAAATCCAATAGTAGAAGAGGTAGTAAAGGTATTAGAAGTGATCGGAGAGGTTAGGATTAGGAGATATTATTCAAGAAGTATGATTAAATGAGAAAAGTTTAGAAAGTCACAGATAGAGGTGTTGAACAATCCAGAAGATTAGGATTTGAAAGAACACAAAGAATAAATGCACCGGCGCCATTGCAAACGGTTTTGAGCCATGTCATTCAAGGTCTCTAACCATCGATCATTATCATCTCGCGGACCCCAACCAGGTAGTCGACAATTACCGACATGGCTCAGTCCACTCGTCAATGATTTCATGGATTTCTGCCATGTTTTGGTGAATAATTTTATTTTGAAATTTTTTTTGTGGAAACTAAAGGAAATAATTTAAATTGTAGTGTAGTGGACGAAGACATCGAGACTAGATGGAATAGACAAGACACAGTTTACTTACAAAATGTGTACATCGGATCTTTAGCATTGTATTTGTCAAAACAGACAAAATCAGTGGCTTTTTTCTTTCAAATGTTTTCTGATCTTCAAAATATATTAATCACACCATACATTCGGATTCGGCACTCTTCTCTCTGGTAGTAGCTTCTGGGTGATAACCTACTGTATACTACTTAGAATCTATATTGCAAGTAGTGTCCATCACAATATCGTGGTTATCGCAAGATCATATATATATATATATATATATCCTATCAGACTAATTAAATTGTAACTTCAGCCTCTGGTTAGTTTGTGTTTAGCCGGGAGGTTCCTTGTGTACTGGAGGATTCTGTGGAGCAGTGAGTAAGGGAAACAATTTGTCATAACCTTAAATTTACCCTGGTAATCTTTAAACCTAGGGTAATGTGACAGTTTTCCTACCTTTTCTTATTCTTTTCATATTTCGGTAATTTTCCGTCTCCTTTATTTACAATTATCAGCTTATGTCTATTTGAACTTTTATTTAATTGACCTTGTATTCATCTTCATATAAAATGCCTTGACAAGTAAACATGTGTGACTAGATTGTTCGAAATGTATAAAGCGCGCAAATACATCACAACATTTTTCAAATCAATTACGTCTTCTCACTGTTCTATCAAAATTTATCTAAAAGGGACTAACTGTTTTAAATTTCGGATTATTTAGATTAAAATAGATTCAAATAAAATGTATTTAGTATAAACGACAAATTACTGAGTTATTTAAAATAACAATAAGATAAGCTTGTTGAATCTGCGGCCTAATGGAGCATAGATCGCCGACCATCATTCTCCTACCTTCCCCATCCTCCGCCTTCCTTCCCAGTTCTACCTGATCTTAGTTTATTCTTTCCACGTCTGTTGCCAATTCTTGGCTCAGTGTGTTCTTTGGTGCTCCTCTATTCCTTTGGCCTTGAGGATTTCAAGTGACGGCTTGTCTTGTGATACAATTGGATGATTTCCACAATGTGTGTCCTATCCACTTCCAGCAATTTTTCGAAATTTACTCATCAGCTGAAATCTGGTATG